GCCTCTGGTAGAGGACCCGAGCTCAGAGGGTGAAAGAGACCACCCGCGGAGGGTGAGAAGGGAATTTTTTTTTAATATATGGATATTGAATTATTTTCCAGCACTGCAATGGAATAAAGAAGGGCTTAACTCTCACTACAAGTCTGCCATAATTCATGGTTCATGTACGGAAAAACTTTTAAACTAAACATCAACATAAAAAATGTAGCCTTTGAAGTCACAAATTCTAATTGCTTTTAACAAACACAGACTTACAAAATGTGAAACCATCTCAAAACAGGTTTTGAGAGTAGAGTTTTTTCATGAAATCCAGTAAAACTTTAGGAGTAGATAGGCAGCACCCATCGGCCGGTAATGCACGAAAAATATTATTTAGAAAATGTGTGCGAGTGATAATTTCTATGTCAAATGAGCAACTGGTTGGATTTAATAACACCCTCAAAAAGTAATCTTTGAATGTACATGTACAACTGATTAACTTGTGTCAGTCTGATTTAAAATGGCCACCACAGCAAAGTGAGTCCTAATAGACACAATAATAGACTATATCTCAGTCAATTTTACAGATAATGAGCTAAAAATGGTGTAGTGGTGGCTGAGAGTCGTCCCCAGCACATACTTTGAGCACTAACAGATTTGGTATCACCTTTGTTTCAAACTTTGGCATGCAAGTTGATAGGTGATGTGTATTTCGTTATGGAACACTACGTTTTAATTTTTCATAATGTAACCCTAACCAAGCAGTATTAAAGCCTAATCCTTAGTATCTGATTAGTAATATGTGACTCGATTCAGTTACTTTTAAACACAAGTAGTCAAAACAAGTTTAAAGCTGGGCACTATAACTGGACGGCCTTATGTTTAAACAAACCCATTTAAATGTGACACAACCCTTCTTTTGTGGCTCAGTGTTTTATGATGTCATCATCCTGTATCCTGTGATTACATGTTTTGTCTTGAGATAGTTATTTTAACACATGACAAAGAAGCACTCAAACATCTTACACATATAATTAATACAAGATAGTATGAGGGTAGTTGTGGCTAATTACTCTTACAATAAATCTGACTTTACTGAACTGAGTTGGATTATATTCGGATTTAACAGTTTTTATACAAACTGGACCTGTTTACTTCGATTGTGCGCTGTCCCGAGGTAACCTTTTGTGAATCTACTCTATATAAATAAACAGAAGTGAATTACAGAAAGCCTATTTAACTCAACCCCAAGAGCGCCAGGATGATTCATAGTCCTCAGCACCAGAGTAGGTGTCTTTTCACATAAACATTACTCAACATTTCTGGTGTTTACCACAATCTGGTTTGGTTATCAAAGGAGGGAAAAAAACTGACATTAATCAGCTTTAATTAGGCAAAAGCGAGATTAGAATTTGATCATTTTTACAATGTTTCATCTTTAAGGTTTGTAAAAGTAAGCAACACAACAGTCTCTAACACCCCCTTACCTACCGTAATTTATAACTTTTTCATCTTACATTAGCCTGTAGTTTTGTTTACTTCACATAAAACCAAAACGATTATTATAAAAAAAGAACGATCTCACTAACTTTTCTTTAGCGAAACTGAAATCAGACTTACGGTAGTTTGGCTGTACCCTGGCATTGGGAGGAAGTAATCGGCAGGTGCAACAGAGACTCTCAATCTTCCGCCGATCATCTCAACTAACCGTGTATTCAAACCGTCATCCAAATAAGTTGTTTCACGCCCTCGTCTCTGATTCTCTTCATTCCTCTTTCTCTTCGTCTCTTTCACTTCTCTGCCTCGCCATTTCTCAGCAGCGTGGAAAAAAGGTCTTGGTTGTAGGAGGGATGACTGACAACAGAAGTCCATCCTCAGCCATGTGTGTTGAGAGCTGCATATGACTAAGCCTGACTCATCGCTCTCTTTTCTTCTCAGAGCTCAATCCTGACATAAACCCTCACGTAGCTTCACCAGGACTTCACCAGTGAGAGGTTTGTATGAAACACAAAAAAGTTTGTTTATTTTCTAAATGGTTTTTTTTTTACAGTTTACCTTTTAAATACTGATTTAAACACAAATATTTGATGTGGGTTTGGAACCAACTGACAAAAACATGAGCCATGCCATGAGGGTTACTCTCCTTACACCTCTTCCTGTCAGCTGACACCTTACTCTATCCCTGCTCTCATCTAACTTCTTATACCCTCATCTCTAACCACACCGTCCTGCAGTCAAACAGTATCAAGGTCATCTGCTCTGATCTCCTTCCTGCATCCATCTTTATCTCTCTCTCTCTTTCACACACACACACACATACAACAAGCACACCCATTTCTCTTTAGTGCGTGGAGCTAAAGACACGAAAGGCTCCTGCTAATGCACGCTCTGTCAATAAGTGCAGGGGCAAGCTTAATGATTTTCCTCCACACATGCTGCGCAGCCCAGCGAGGGAACAAAGTGATGGATTGTTCACAGAGGGTCACTGGGTTTATTGGTGGGTGGGACGAAGGGGCTGAAGGGCACAGAAGGTTTAAAAATGGTAGTAGCAACACAAAGCCCTCTCCTCGTGACTGAAAAAAATGAAAGAGATACTGTACCAGGATCTATAACCTCAACCATAATTATTTTAACCCTTTTTGTTTGACTTTTTTTTTCTTTTCTTTGTCCTTGCAGCTGCCGGGCGAGTCGGTGTAAGGTTCAAGGAGTGTTTTGGGTGGGGATCATAGCGCCGCGTTGCGTTCAGCATCCAGTCTGAGTCATAACTCCTGACATTCGGCACGTGCAAGTCAGCACGATTCGCTCAGCTGAGGCAAGTCTGCCTTCCAACCTCGCCTTCGTCACCGCCCCCCCTCCCCTCCCCTCCTCAAACCCCATCTCACAAAGAGAGAAAGGGAGGAGTGGTTTCAGAAGGGGGGGGAGAGACCGAATGAAAACTGGAAAGGTGGTGATAGGTGGGGAAGCCGGTGGGGTGGAGCTGTAAAAATTAAAGAGGAGGAAGAGATGGAGGAGGTGTGTTATTAGGAGGCTGCTCTTTGTGYTTGAAATTTAGGAAATTTCAAAAAAATTTAGTTTAAAATTAAAGAGAAAAATAAAAAAAGAGTTTAAAATAAAAAAGTACACTTTGTACCTGTCGGCCAAATGTGTACCAAGTCATAAATTAATAAGSAGTTGTCATTGGACAAGGATGTACACCCAGTAATTCTATATACTGGAGTGTTTCTGAGAGGCACATTGTGTGTTCACTAAGAGGCCAGATGGTGTTTTGAGGGACAATATTTTGGGGTTAAATTAGAAGTTTCTCGGAGGAAAAAGCAGGTAAAAAACAAGAGAAGCCTCCCTCAAGCCTGCACAGTGGCTGGATGCCAGTTTTGTCTCTCTGGACTGCGGCTAAGATTAGCTTCCCATATGTTCCAGTCAGACATAACCAGACTAAAAGGGGCCAGTACAACACTTTGTCCTCGAAGGCTGCACACACATTTACAAAGCTTCACAGCAGACAATGACTTGCTGAGGTCTCTGATTACTGAGTGAATACATTTCTGAGTTAAAAGCATTTTGTACCATTATACTCAGTGCAGTTCTTCAGTATCTGAAGGCTTCATTTAAAGAGACTTTAGCAATCAGGATTTTCAAGTGTGTGCTTCTATAGTATGTAATGAAGGCTTCAACAGCTGTTGCACTGTATTACATAAAACCTGGCAGTGTCTGGCGGCAGAGGGATTCAGGATTGTATAAACTGCATGCCAAGTGGGAGCAGCAGAGCAGCCGCCAGAGACGTGAGAGTTAAACGGCTCCAGCAACAGCTGAGGGCTCCGCCCCCTTCTCTTTCCATTCATTTTTTATTAACTGCGGCACCAAGCAACCCCTCACCGCCCCCCCACCCTCCAGCATAAAGAACAGATACAACAGCTAAAGACGCCAGCTTCCTGCTAGCCATAACCCATCGAGCCATACAGAATATTGATCCAGCTGCAGGACTGTGGAAATGGTGCACACAGAGCTGCAAGCAGAACTGCAGGACAGATGATGCAAAAGTGGACGGCTTTGTAGGACACAAAATTTACATGACTACAAATTAGACTGCAGGTGACTAAATACTAGTGTCACATGCTAGCCCGGGGATTTTGGAATGGGACTGTTTGAAATAATTTTCCTGTCTTTGATAAAAGTGATTCTTTACAACCCCTAAAATAGACTTTACGATCTGGAAGCAGCTGACTTCTGCTTAGTTTGCATACAGGCCAACAGTCAAGGTTTGTTTTTCACTGCAGACAACTAATCTTAAACTTGATCTTGAACTTTGTATCATTTCAGCACTGACAGAGGACAGTATTTTACAGTGGTGTAAACAAAAAAAGGACATTTTGGTCATTTTAAAAGGGTGTTTTATCAAATAGTTTTCAGTAGTTAGTACCTTATAAGCTCTGACACTGAGTACAAATAGAGAAACATGCAAAGGCTTTCCTCTAGGCTAGGCTAACGGCTAGCCAAACTATAACCCCTTTATATCGTTTTTAAGGCTTATGAAATAACTCTTTTCTAAAAAAAACAGTATACTGGTGTGATAGAATGCTGTTTTATAACTCTGAAAACAATACAATTCAAGCCCTATTGGAATAGGTATTGGCTAGATGGAAAAAATTTCTCCCCTTTTCTTCACACTTCATGCTCGGTGATTTATGTCACGGTTGATATTATTGGTAACGTTTTATCAGAACTTTAGGTGCCCACAAAATAAAAAAAAATAATAACACTAAATCTACCTTGACTTTTTGAAAGAGTTGCAATAAAGAACACAAAGATTCTTTAAGATGTGCAAACACATAAAACAAATGAAACTTTTTATTCTTACATTGCTGTCTGCGTCAAACCTTGAATTGGTTCATGTTTGTATTTTTAAATAAAGTTTTTGGAATTCAGAAAAGTTCACGGTTAAGACATTACTAGTGTGTAATCAGAAGGCAGAATTCATCACTGAAGTAGTGGAAACCTTACAGAGAAGAAAAATACATCGAAAGTTAACTCTGAATGGAAGAGCTGATTTCAAACCCTCCACATCCTGAGTTTGTACTCTACAGCAAACCACTTACTACACACACACACACACACACACACACACACACACACACACACACACACACACACACACACACACACACAC